GTTTGACTCTTGCTGTTCCTCCTCCTCTTCATTGTTGAGGTCTTGTTCCGCATCAATAATGATGTCTTCTATTAAATTTTCAGGATCTTCTTCTTGAATCATCCTGTCTAAAAAGGCTTCCTCGCCTATGTATTGCATAACGAGATTAATTATCGTATGCCTATCAATGTCAGGATTTTTCTTTTGAACCATTTCCGTTATGAGTTCAATTTCCTGCTCTTTTGATCGTATCCCGTACTGATCGTATATGTATTGTAGGGCTTTTTGAGTTTCTTCTTCTGATCTCTATATTCTCTCTCTATATTCGCCCCCGAATTGAATCGTTTTAACCTCCTCTTCTTTTTCTTCTTTGCCGGTGTTTACCGGTGAATTTGACCTGCTTCGAGAAGTTCCCCCTTCTTCGTTTGCTTTCCCTGTGAGGTATCGTGTTGTTTTGGAACGGCAGAATAAATCCCCGTTTTCCACGTCTCCTGAGGTACTAGCAATCTCTCCTCTTCTCTCTTCTAAATTCTTCTCATCTGAAGTCTTTGGTCCTCTTCTCTCTTCTCTCTTCTTATTAATCGATAATATTGATTTATTCTTTGTAACTTCCCCGTTTTGGTTTGCCTTCCCTGTGAGATATCGTGTTGTTTTGGAATGGCAGATATAATCCCCATTCTCCATGTCTCCTGAGGTTCTAGCAGTGTTAAGGGTTGCGTTACGTGTAACTTCTTCGTCTGAGGTACTTGTTCCTCCTTTTTCTTTCGTATTGATCATTGATAATGATCTGCTTCGAGTAGCTCCCCCGTTTCCGCTCGCCTTCCCTGTGAGATTTCGTGTTGTTTTGGAACGGTAAAAGTTATCCCCGTTCACCACGTTTCCTGAGGTTCTGGGCTTGTAAACGGTTGTTTTGGGTAGAGTATCCTCGTCAGACGTATTCGGTAATTCCGTTATCTCCACCGTTCTTCTTTTCCGGTTGGGTGTAGCAGTTTTTCCCATCGCTCTTTTTGTCGTCCCGGATTGTATCGATGGTAGGCCATCTCCGTCGCGAACTTGAGTTTTTATCGATGAGCTTTCCGCTGTTATTGCATATGGTGGTGTATTTTTTCGAAATCCCGTACGTATATTATTATTATTGAACGCGTTCGATCTTCTATCGTCAAATCTATTTGCGTTATATCTTGAAATGTCGCTCGTATTCGAGTTTTGACTTATTTTATAATTTTCCGGATTGTATCTGTTTCGAATTTCCGGTTCTGCCTTTATTTTACTCAGACGTTCAAATTTTAGTATTTCTAACAATTTGATTAGATTTTTTAATGAATTGACGGTAGTCGGACGAATTTCTCGGGCTACGTCATTACTAAAATGCCTTTTGACAGCTCGTATTATTTCCGGTTCTGTCATTGGTGGCTCAAGCAATTTTGCTTGTCTCGCGATATTCAACGCGTAATCCGCCATGGATATTTCTTTGGACGGTTTATATTTGTTCAGGTATACATTTTCCCTGAATTGAGATTGAATCTCGTGTGACCAAAAATGGTCCTTGAACAATTCTTTCGCTTGTTCAAAGTTTTCCGGCTCTTGTAGTTCATACCACATTGCTGCCGTATCTTTTAACGTTTTTGCAAAATAATGCAATTTATCTTTGCCTGTTACATTTTCGTATTCGGCAATTTTTTCAAACTTATTTAAGAATCGTATTGGATTCTGTTTATCCTTCTTTCCGGAATAACTAATTTCATCAAACGGATTTTTTAACCAACCCCCTCTGGGTAATTTGATTCTTATCTCCGCCGTGTTATCATTTGAAGCATTTATGTTGTCCCGTAGACTAACTTGCTTATTTTCTTCTTTTTTATTCTTCTGCGGTGTTCCGGAATTTACTTCTTCTAAAGAATTTAACATTCTTCTTGCGCGAGTGAGTAGATCTTCGTTACTTTGCACGTTTTGTGTTCGATTCATTTTCTGTTGAATCGTA